ACAGCGCTGAGCAGCACCGCGGGGGACTGAGATGATCCCGCAGGGGAGGAGGGAGGATCCCTCGCGCAGGAAATGTGCTTTTGCCAGGGCAGCTCGTGCAGCTGAGGCAGCCGGAGCTAAAAATAACCCCCCCCTTTGCCAGGACACATTTGGGGCCGCGAGGTTAAGGGGCAGGAGCGGCAGGAAGACACGGGACAAGGACACAGCGCCCGTGTGACCAAAGGTGACCCCGGCAGCCCGCGCTGTGCCACAGGGACAGCGCTCCCTCCTCCCGCCGCTCCCGGGGCGATGCGGGGAGAGCCCCGTGTCCCCACAGTGCCCCTGCTCGTCCCCGGGGAGCGAGCGGCTCTCTATTAATAACCCCCGATGACACCGCTCCGCATCCATCCCCCAGCCCGCCGGGATTCGCGTCCTCCCTCCCCGCCTGTTAAAAACAGCAGCGCCGCCCCCCCCCCCCCCCCCCCCAAAAAAAAACAAAACCAAACGCGCTTCACCTGCCAGCTCGGCGCCGTGCCCGTCGGCATCCCCGTACTCGAACTCCAGGTTGGGACAGTCCACGGAGCCCTGCGGGGAGCGGGACGGGGGGAGCGGGGCGGGCTGGCACATCCCTGCGGGAATTCCGGGAGGCGCCCCCGGCTCTGCTCCAAAGCTCCCCCCGCGGGGCTCGGGCACCCCGGTCGTGCCGGGAGGCTTCAAAACCCCTCGGAAATGCGGCGGGCGAGGGTAAAAATGGCAGTTCCCGAAGAGCCCGGGGGGAAGCAGCGGCAGGACCCGGAGCGCCGGCGGATGTTGGATGCGTTATTTCAGAGCCCCCCCCAAAACCCAGCCTGGGGCTGGTTCCGAGCAGGAACCCCCGGGAGGACTTGGCTCCACCCTCGGCGCCCCAGAGCCGGCAGCTCCCGGGGCCGGGCTCTGCCTCTTGGAAGCCCTCGGTGCGGGTTTATCCCCCTCCTCCCCCGCGGAGGAAGGAACTGGAGCGTGAAACTCGGCCCGAGGATCCCGGCGGGGCGGGGAAGGGGCGGCCGCGGCCACACGGACCCGGCGCCGACCCCCCGGGAAGGGACCGCACGGATGGGTAATTAACCCAATTAACGTGATTTCCTCCTCCCGAATCCCGGCGTCCCCCCTCGGAGGCCGGGCTGGAGCTGCTGCGCGTCGCCGCCCTTAATATTGATGAGCCGGGCTGAGCCCGCCTGCACCAGAAACGCCGGATTCTCACCCAATTTCGGCAGCCCCGAGCGAGGGTCGGGGAGTTAAAGCCGCTGAGGAATTCGGCCGAGCGCGTGCAGCCCTAATCCGCTTGGAGAGGCCGGGCCGGAGGGGTGGGGGGGGGGGAAGCAAACCCCAAATTCACGAGCTTGGACACCGTCCCCCAGGAAAAGGGACCCTTTTTTTTGGGTCAGGGAGACGCATCTCTTGGGTGGGGGAGCCAAATCTTCCCGTCCTGTGCTATGGGGACCCCGCGGGGGCTTTTACGGGGAGCCGGGACAATGTCCCGGGCTGGATCCTGGTGATTGATCCCGGTCCTGCTTCCCCAGCCCGGCACCCAGAGCAGCCCAGGGGGGCTCGGTGGTTCCTCCCCGCCCCGGGGTTTTTCGGGCAGGAGGGGTGAAGGGTTAGGGGGGGAACTGTGGCCTCCGGACCGTGGTGAGAGGGGGATAAGTGGGTGCCTGGAGGGTGCGGGAGAGCTCAGGGTCCAACTGGGACCCCAAAACTCTGGCGCCGCTCTGGGAGTGGGGCAGGGATGTGGCAGTGCCGGAGCTTAGCTGGGATCCCAAACCCCTGGTGCCAGCTCTGGGAATGGGGCAAGGAAGAGCCGGTGCCGGGGCTTAGCTGGGATCCCCAAACCCTTCTGCTGGATGTGAGAGTGGGGCAGGGAGATGCCGGTGCTGGGGCTCAGCTGGAAACCCCAAACCCTGCTGCTGGAGCTGCCAGCGGGGTGAGGATGTTCCAGTAGCGGGGGCAGCCCCCCGGGGACCGGGGCTGGGCACCTCCCGCCCGCTCAGGACCCCTCTAAACCCGAGGTCGGGGTGAGGACCCCCCCCCTTCCCCAAGTCCGAGAGCTCCGCCAGCCCTGGATAAAGCCCCTCCCGCAGGAGCCCCCACGGCGGGGCAGGGACCCCCCCCCCCAACCCGTGCGAGGTGCCCTCGGCGGTGCCCCCCGCCCGTACCTCGGACTCCTTGCGCTGGGTCCTGAAGAGCTCGCGGCCCTTGGGCTGTGTCTGCGCGGGGGGCTGGGGCTGGGGCGGTGCCGGGCGGGCCCGGCCGGGTCCCGGTGCCGGTGCGGGGGTCCCGCCGCCTCCCGCCGCCTCCATCGCTGTCACTGCCCCGCCGAGCACGTGGGGCCGGGACAGGGACACGCCCCCGCCACGCCCCCCACGCTCCCATTGGTCCGCAAGGCTGGGGGCGGGGCAAAATGGACACGCCCCCCTCACCGTCATTGGCCAGTGGGGGAACGGGGGGCTGGGAATGG